TCAACTTGCGAAAGAAAATGGAGGAAAATAAATTATCTTTTAGATTTCACAGATCTCATAGCTATCGCTAGTCTATGATAAATTCAAATAAGGTTTTAGCTTCCATAAAAGAAATGCTAAAATATGATGTGGGAAGTGTAAATTTCCTCTAGATTTGGTACCATGTTTTCACATTTCGACTTATTCAACCTTTAAAATGATGTCTGGGGAGCTTTGAACCGATTAATGTCAGGACAGCCTCCTTCTCATTATCATTATTTACTCCGAAATACAGGCCTCTAGATAAGTCTTTTTTAAAATTAATAGGAAAATTACATACCTAGGTTTCTTCAAATTCTAGAATGCTAGAACTTCAATCCGGTCCTTCTATTCATGTGTTTGTAAGACATGGAAAGGAGTTATGAACTGCCAGAGAGAGAGAAGGAGAGACAGGCAAAAGACATTTCCCCAGTATGAAAGAATCAAATGGGAATAAATGAAAGGACCTACAAATTCAACATCTACTTTGTCCATCGCCTTTCTTTTTGAAAAGGAAGCAAATCCCTCGTGTGCAGTTATCAAAAATTTATTATTCTTTTTCAGAAAAAAACCATTGAAGCATTGTCACACTTAAAATTAGATCTTAGGAATGTTGCATAAGTGAGTTTGAAGGGGAAAAATAGATGCAAAAGGAGCCAAAGAAGCCACATCCACATTGAAAGGCCACATCTCTTAACCCGACAACAACTGAATGGACGCGGCTTTTCCTGTATTTCGTTTGATCAAACTGTAGAGTGTAAAAGGCTAATGATATAAGCATTTAAGTTGTGTCGGAACGTCTTGATGATGATAATAATAGACCCTACAACGGCAGCACCGCGTACAAGTGATAGGTAGCAAGTACTGCCTTACTACGAGTCCTGACAGCCGGCACACCGTTCACACGTAGACAATGGCGATGGCGTAGGCGCAGGACTGGAGTCATAAATTCGCAAGCATTAAAGGAAAACAGTGAAGAGATACCAATCAAATGATGTCAGTGCTTTAAAGAAGGCCATGTGTTCAGTGATGACCCTCGACCGTAACGGTTCCACTTCCATTCCATGAATAACCTTTCAGCCTGCGCATGGAATGGTTGCCCGATCCTAAACCTCGGATCAGCAAATACCAACTATAAATGTGAATTCAACACGAACAATCACGAATATCTACAATTTTGAGGAGTTAGAACACACTGGTAACCATCACCTTCCTAAGACCCTTAAGTCACACTGACAAATCTTTCCTTGTCAAAACTGCTTTTTGAGAATCCGTTGAATGCTGAGCAACGGAAGATTGAATTTATGCTCGCCATTTCTGTCTTTAGGCAAAATCAAAGGTCCGATTGAGCTTGAACGCAACTTTTACTTTGCCGACCTTTTTTCGTGTTCATTAATTCCGTCATCATAATGAGTCGTAAAAAGCACTCAAAAGCTTGTGTTTACATCGTTAGCAAAGGTCACAAAATCGAAAGGATAGGAAGGAGTAAAAGAGGAAGAAGGCGAAATTAACACCCGTACTATACACAGACTTTGTCACTCTAAAGTCCAAGATCATTCTTGGCCAAATCCCTCAGTTTCCTCAATGGCAAGAAGGAGTTTTTCACGTAACTGGTCATATGAAGTGTAGGGTGGCAAGTCTAGGCGATTGAAGCAAGTATGACTGCGTGGCAACCAAGCTTCCGTTCCCGTCTTCTCGATGCAGAAGAGCTGACGTCCATTGCTTCCTAAAAAGATGTACCACAATAAATAATCAAAGCGGTGATTTGTACAACGCCAAAACTTGTAATAAAAGTGCCTTCATCAGTCTTCCTACATTGAATTATATAAA